GACGTTGTTATATGCTTGAAGAATAGAGAAGGGATACCGAAACGGTTCTATTCCCACTCCTCTGTTCTGATAAATAGGAGCAAGTACTTTGCCAACCGGCTTTCTCATCCGAGCTGTAGTGATTGCATCAATATACATTGCTCAGAGGTTAACCACGATCACCATGTCAACCTGTTGAAGCTGCTTTATCTTCCAGCAGACTCAATTTCGGACTCGTTGGATTCTGTTAAATCTGCACTTGGTATTCTTCAGGTAGCAGTTGCCTTCCAGTGCGAAGAGATTGCACGCTGCTGCATCCAGTACTTAGAGGCTGTTCCTTGGGAGGACAAAGAAGAGGAACTTATCCTAAAAGCAGTTTCAAATTTGGGTCCAATAGCTATGCCGATATTAGCCAGGATCCAACCTGTTGATTTAGCTGCCACCAAAAACGTTTTTATCTCAGCGGTTCGCGTTGCCACATCCATTTCCGAACCATGCCCTCCATTCGGTAATGAGCTTAAGACTTCTGCCCAAGAACAAGTTGAATTCATGTTAGGAGAAGATGAGGATGCACCGTTGGTCACAGCTGATGATGAAGTAAAATCAGTGCTGAGAATGGGTCTATTGCAGATTTATTCGACGTTTGAAAAGGAGTTGTCTGCCCTACTTTTGGAGCCTGACCTTGTATCTGATAGGGCAGAGGAGAAAATATTGCATAGTTTGTCTGATCTTGAGTGGATGTTTAACATACTTGGGAAGATGGATTTGATGAAGGATTTCGTATCCAACTGGGCTGAAAGCTCAAGTAACGTTTTAGAAGTAATCGAGGATAAGAAACTAGATTCTTTTATGTGGGGTTTGAAAATTAAGCTCATAGAAGTGACTGCTAAAGTCTTGGAAGCAGTTGGCTATGGCAATGTGATTCTTCCAACTCCAATCCGCATCTCATTACTAAAGACATGGCTGCCTTATATAAGGAAGATGAAACCGCTCTTGGACTCAAAGGGCAGCGAGGAGACGGGCTTTCCATACAAGATGAGTGAAGACTTGTGCCAGAGCATTGAAGGGGCCATGGTGACCTTGGTGCTGGCGTTGCCGTCAAATGATCAAGCGGACATTCTGGCAGACTGGATGGGAGCCGAGCAGGTCCAGTACCCGGACTTGAGCGAGGCCTTCGAGGTCTGGTGTTTTAGAACGAAGTCTGCAAAGAGAAGATTAGTGGAGGGATTGGATGGGGCTGGCAATGCAACTGTTAGCCTTTGAAAAGTTTTTGCTTTGGCCTCCTTATATGTTGTAAAATTAATATTCTGTTGAAATAGGAAGGGCATTAATTGGTCTTTGATGAAAATTGAGCTTTATATCAATATATTTTCCAAGCATTACAATTTAGTAATTTACTCTCCCCCAGAACACAAGCAAATGATATGATGTTAATTCTTGTATTTTGACATTGTAGAATGCTTCTGTTTGTACTTGGGTAAGTGATGTAGAACAACTAGCGTCTTGGATTATGGAGTCGTTCGGCAAGCGTCAACACAAGAAAAATACGTTTAAAAGATTCTGAATTTGGAGAGGTTGATGTTCGATTTGGGACCATAATCCGTCGTTTTAAAGAGAACTAGTGTCTTTGGCCAAATAATGACCTTAATTTGCATTTTGAGATTTCTCGTTTCACTTTATTTTGGAGTTAGGATGGGTAGCCTAACTGTCACATCCCCGCCCGGGGGGACCACTTTCCGGGCCCGCTCCACCACTGTAGCACGATATTGTTTGCTTTGGGCCCCGACTACGCCCTCCGGTTTTGTTTCTAGGAACTCATTCGAGAACTTCCCGATGGGTCACCCATCCTAGGATTGCTCTTGAGCGCTTCTCGCTTAACTTTGGAGTTCCTACGAAACCTGAAGACAGTGAGCTCTCAAAAGGCCTCGCGCTAGGTAGGGATAGGAATATACATATAAGGATCACTTTCCTGGGCGATATGGGATGTCACACTAACCCTATTATATTTATTGCTTTCGCGTTAATGAACAATTTGTATGTTTATTTATGTGGAATTTATAAAGGAATATGAAAGAAAGCGAGAGAGAATCAACTGCATCTAATAAATATAAGTCAAGTTTTCAAGTATTAAATTACGGATTGTTATGTGAAGGCTACCCTTTAATACGAAAAAAAATGTTGACCCAAATCATCACAGACATCCAATTGTTTTCTTTTATTTCTTCGTTCATTTTATTAATGCTCAAAGAAATAATGTTTATGTACTTTGGTGCACGATTCGATCTCCCTTCTCCATAAAAACTAACAATTTAAACTATTAAGCTGTCGTTTGTATAAAATAAAAAGCAATTCCTCCAAACATATTTTCAAATAAATACGGCTGCAAAACGTGTCTGCTGCTAAAAAAACATAAAAACAAAAAAAAGGATATTTTGAAAACACACATCTTTTTAATAATCATAGTTCATTTTTGTTGGAAACATTGTAGGATGTCGGTGGGGCGCAAAACAAAATTTTTTCTATGTTACCAAAATATAGTCGAGTACCGTACGTGTCATAATATAAGTAAGAATAAATTTTATGGATTTTTTTCAATTGTGTTATGATTTTAGGTGTATCAGATTGTATACCAAATACATTAAAAATCTCTCCACATAACAGATTTTTGGGTGGACCAACAAAAATGTACTTATGATATTAGTCTCGTTTTCTTAAACTTCATGGTTCAAAATTGCATACTGTTTCATCTTAATCTACCAGTGAAGAAGAAACTACAACAATAAAAATTAGGGGGTCTTGATATACAATTTATTCGATCTGGTGGTTAAAAATTGAGCGGTATGTGTAAGAAGTAAAAATGAATGTATAGATATCGTCATCCTAAAAATAAATGACCATTAACCGTCAGATTAAAATCAAACTGTAGGTGGACACAATTTTCTTGGACCTTAAAGCCTAGGAGAATGAGACTCTTATGAGCTTATTTGGTGGGCTAGTTATGATAGGTTGTGACCAATTAAAATAGACTTGAGTACAGTCTGTTGCTTATTGTGTCAAAATGTAAGATGAACATGACTAGATATAATAAGTTATGAATCCATAATAAAGTCGGTTATCCAACCTATCATTGTATATGAGTTACAAGTCCTATCATATATCTCTTCGTCAATCCAATCATATTCATAAGGTCTAATCTCATCTAACCCACCAAACGAACCTTATATAATATATTATACATTGTTAGGTAAGGCTAATGGATCTCTTCGCACCAACTCCATCACCGACCGTTACAAATATAAGAAAACTAATGAAAAGGACTTTAAAATTTTTAGTTTTAATCAAAAACCACGTTATAAGTTTTGTTTAATGATTAGTACAAGACCCATATTAAAGTAGTCCAACTAAAAATGGCCCAACTATAATAAATTATGATTTGTCGGATTTTACCCCTAACTTTTTTAGGTTGAGTTCCAGATTTTCGTCATTAATGGAGTTCATCGTTGTTTTGAAGACCTTCTTCTTTTTCTTTGAAACAAAAATATAGATCCTCATGCTATTTAATTTATATTTTGTATTATTTCGTTGAAATGTGATCGTCGTTATTATTCATAATGTATTCAAAGTACTGTTTTTCAATTTTTCTTTGTCAGTGGAGTTCATTGTTTATTTCCCCAGAAAATAAATTTGAGATCTGCATGTTATTCAATAATAACGACGGGTCACTGTTTCTGGACTGTAAAAATAAACAGTTTTTGGATTTTAAGTAACACTGTTTTTGGAATCTAAGTCACTATTTCTAGATCCAAATGAAATAGACACACTGTTTCTTAAATGTAAGCTAGAAAAGAAATAGTGAAATTCATTGTATTTGGATTCAAAGCAAAATAAGTATCATGTTTCTTAAATATAATCAACTGATGCATGAAAGAAAAAAAAAAATCAGAGGTTAAAACACAGACTGTTTCTGGAATCTAAATCATTGTTTCTGAAATCTAAGTCACTGTTTTTGGAATTTAAGTCATTGTTTCTGGATTTTGGTTCTTTTCTTTCCAGATACAATGTTTGTTTGTGCACAGATAAAACGAACACTGTATCTGATTTTTTTTTTCCCCATAAACATTGTTATGTTTTAGGTTCTCCATAAACAATTTTATGTTTTGGTTCTTTTTTTGTTTCTAGACACTTTTTCGCCAGTTTCTGCCATTAAACTTCTTTGAACTTGTTTCAGCAGTTTTGTTCCAATGAATGCTTCATTTTTCAACTTTGATTTGAACTTTGATTTGGTAAGCATATATTACAGTAATACATTTCCCTGATGAAAGAATGCCTAATGCCTATGCATTTGCACTTTCGGCATTAACCTCTACGTTCAATGGGTCTTTTTATACCAGAAAGCTATTATATCACATTAACCGTTTCCAGATAAGAAGCCAAGGAAAAAGAGAAATAAATAAACCGAAGGGGAAAGGAATACAAAAGGTGGCACTATTTCAGAAAGTAATGAAGTCTCAAACGAAGAAAGTCATGGAAGAAAAATCAAAATACACATACTTCCCTCACACAACCAAAAAACACATCATTGAATGCGTATGAAATGCATATCTAATATTTTTCTTCCAAAATGCTCATAATTTTGGGGGCACCTTATGTTTAGTCCTGATATAACAAGAACCTAAGATAAAGACCTAAGTTAAGGTTATGAATCTCAGTTATTTATAGACGTCTGACATGTATGTACATCACTGGAACTGTAGGTCCTTATTGGATCTGATTGGAATAAAATACTAACACTATAAATTATTCGTGGTGCAGATAAGAGGATGAGGACGATGACGAGGAAGAGGAGGATAAGGGCACAAAAAAGGTATATGTACACAATAGTTTTGGATGATTTTTTATTAAACTTTGAGCCATTTTAATTAAATAACATTTTAGAATTGTTTTTGGTTAAATATTTGTTGGCACTAACTCTTTTCATTAAAGCTCTCTAAAAATATTCATCATCAATCATACTCATACGCTCCAATTCCTTTTTTTTTTCTTTCTAAATTCCTAAATAAATAATAAACCCAAAAAAAAAAAAAAAACACGCCAAAGTCGCCAACCCCAAAAATCCCCCGAATCTCAATCCGTCCTGCAACGCAACTTCCCCAAATCGTCTTATTGTCTTTTCGTTTTTGACGTCGGTGATGATGAGCAGCTGCTCCTTATTAACACTCCCATCATCGTCGTCGTTAATCTTAATCTTCATCTCCATCTCGTAGTCTCTTCCGGTTAATTGATTTCGTTTCATCATCCCAAAAAATTCAGAAAATCCAGAAAAAAAAGGATCGGAAAATGTACGTAACGGCGGTGCGACCGACGGATCTGAATCGGAACACGGAGTGGTTCACGTACCCCGGAGTTTGGACCACTTACATTCTTATGGTGTTTTTCTCGTGGCTCACCGTTCTCTGCCTCTTCTCTTGCTCTCCCGGCATGGCCTGGACCGTCGTCCACCTCTCCCACTTTCTCGTATTTTCTCTCTTCCTTTCTCTTCAGTCTTTTGTGTTTATTTGTTCGAAGATTTAACTTAATCTGCTTATTTTTTCCTGTTCGATTTGGTTAATTATGGTGGTGGATTAGGTTAATTACTTTGATTGTGATTGTGAATCTGAATCGACGAATGGTTTAGGGTTGTTGTGATTGATGAAGAACTCAGTAGGATTGAATAAATCATACTTGATTGTGAATTTATGTTACGTTTGAATCGAATTGTAGAAATTTCTAAACACTAGACAAGATGCGGGAGTCTCTAACTGATTAGATGAAATTGTGAACAATCTCGGAAGTTGTATCATTTATTATATAGGTCTGTATAGTTGTATAATCTTTTTAGTTCACAAGGAGGCGGAGGAGAAGAAACTCTCGTGTTCAGTTCTGCAGTAGAGATGGGGTAGAATTGATAAACAAGTCTCTGTTCAATAATATGCTCTCAAAAGAATCAAAATCGGTAACCAGCGTGGAGGGAGAATCAAAGAGATATTGTATTGAATTAGTTAGTAGACGGGGATGCATCTATGATTTAACACCAGGAAATCAGATTGAGTTTTACGGGATTGGTATCTGGATGCTGAGCGCAGATTTTGCTGAGCATTGGGTACAGGGGAATGAACAACTTTTATCTGAGGAATATAGGCAGAGTGTTTCTGCGTAATGTTAATGTAATTTGGAATTGTAAACTTCATACTGATAAATGAAAAATTCATTGAGTTCTCACTACCCTTTAATTGAGTTGAGTTGAAGCTCTCTTCAAATTTGGGGCTGCTGATTTTATGTTATAAGTATCTGTTATGCATCTTCTTGAGAAAAGTAAAAAGTTGATGTCTTGTTGGAGGTTAACCGGTCGTCAAATATGCGTTATCTATCTTATGATCTGTATGGTAGATTTGATGTCTTTATTATAGTTTAGTTACTGATACTCTGATTTACTTATTACCATGTTTTATGATTGTCTTAAGGTTACTTATCACTTTTTCCACTGGAAGAAAGGAACACCATTTGCAGATGATCAGGGTATCTACAATGCACTGACATGGTGGGAGCAAATAGACAATGGCAACCAACTCACTCGAAACAGAAAGTTTCTAACCGTCGTGCCTGTTGTGTTGTAAGTACTTGGAAGTTTTTCTTTATAAGCCTTGCAGATCGGTTTTTGGATTTTGAAAATGCAAGCATGAATTCTAGTCATTAGGGGGAGATCAGCGGTGCTCCCTTGATGGTCTCTTACAATAGTCATCTTGTGTCTAACCATTAAATACAGTGTCCCTCAATTTAAGTCCCATCGGTGAGCGCTTCAGAATATAGTGAACCATTTAATTCAACATAGCTGTTATACAGATGTCACACGTTTGTTGGTTAGCTTAATTTGATCTTATGAATTATAGAAATGCACTCAGACATGTTAGACCAGAATGCTCATGGGATGTACAACTTTTTTCTCACGTGTGATGCTACTGTATCGAATAATTCTAACTCAATAAGACATATATTTTGCTTACCTATCCATCATCTTTCATTTGGCAGGTACTTGATAGCCTCACACACGACGGACTATCAAAATCCAATGCTCATCTTTAACACGCTAGCAGTTTTTGTGTTGGTAGTTGCAAAGTTCCCAAACATGCACAAGGTTCGTATATTCGGAATCAACGCTGATCACTGATCTCTCTAAACGATCAAGCTTGACTATAGTTTTCTTGGTCCAGTCATATGAGTTCCCTTGCCCTAATCATATTGGCAATTCAGACATAACGGTAGAATCCCTGTTGAAATGTTGAAACTGGAAACAATGTATTATTTTTTGGATGAAGTGAAATTTTTTACCCCTCCGCTGCTCTCTGTTGCATTCAAACCAGACGGGCGACTGGCAAAATGTCTGCTTTTGATTTTCTCTTTCTAAGTGCTATCATTGCTGAGTTTCAGTGCTCTTATTTGTTTCCGGATAGAAAAGTTTACGTTTCGTTACCCCGTATTTATATACTCTCAAAATCCTTGGGTGTATGTTTTCTAATCATGGCCGGTTCCCGTCCCTGTTGACGATAATGCTGTGGAAACATAATTGAAGATGGACCCTGGACCACTCTCCATCTTGGTTCTTTTTTTCTTCCAAGTCTGTAGGGCCTATTGGGTGGGACGGACTTACTTGTTGGGCAAGATTGGGATTATTGAGATGACATTTCTGGACTATTGCGTGTTGTTAAAAGAGAATTTGAATTTGGGTTCTCATATTTTAAGTATAAATGTAGCCATCATATGTTTGACTACAACATTTAACTCTTATGATCTTTCAATTTTTGCCCTCGTCAAGCGCGAACGTTCTTCCTATTCTACCTCGTGATGTTAGACATCTTCATTTTTAGACAAAGAATCTATGTGTAATGTCTTGCCACCTTGAATGGGGCGATGCTACGAGAAGGACGTAGATGGTACGGTTTCACTGGCACTTTGGTGTTTGAACCACAAATACAAGGTCATAAGGAGAAAGTCTTGCACATGACCTTGCATTAGTGATTTGGGACGCCACAGTGGTAGTGACCTGTTCTATGAAATTCTCCCTCGAATGCTACGTCCGCCACCAAATATTTGGTCATATATTTTTAGTAAATGATTCGCCATGCCAAAGAAAACTTGGGTATGACATGTTTTGTAAGGGAAACTCTCACACAAAGTGTGATCGATGTGGTGGGATTAGATAATTAAGACCAAAATACAAGAGGTCACATGCTTTTGTGAAAGTAATTTTGACTAACTGCATAATAAGGTGTCATACCCACGCTTTACCCCCGTTGTTTTATCAAATAAAATTTATAAAATGACGTGCCCAACACATCATACATTTGAAGAATGTAATTTTTTCGTGCACAATAATAATACCGCTCATTTCTCTCACCCCTTGAAATGCATACTTCTTTATCCTACGAGTTAGGTTATGGGAATTATAGGTCTCCAAGAATGTAAAGAGGGCAGCAGGCAGATATTTCACGCATTGCCAAAAACAAAGGATGCTTCTGTGGTTTTAACTCAAGAAATGCAAGAGATAAGTTTGGAAAACATCTTGTTCATTGAAAAAGCCTAAGCACAAAAACACAACACACAAGAATCCAAACCACAACACATCCACCAACGACATTTGATTACTCAAATCCACTTTCCATACTCTTTCCTACTTTTTTTTTGTTTTTTATTATTTTGTTTTTTTATTCTAAAATAATAGTTGGGATGGCCATTATATTTCATTGGATAATGTAAAGGAGACCAAAATTTTAAACTAAATTTTGCAAACCAAATAACGTGAATATTGATGATTGAATTAGTAAGTGTTGATTACCATGCTTACTTCCTATTAATGACACATAATTTAGTTTGTAAATTTTGTTCATGCTTACTTCCTATTAATGACACATAATTTAATTTGTAAATTTTATTTAAAATTTTGACATCCCTAGTATTATCCTACTTCATTTCGTGGTGATTAACTATAGGAAAATGGGTTGTCATATTCATATGTCAACTTGGACTAAAGTGATCTGTAATGACTGTAGACATGTTTGGATTACCCAAAAAGCCCTCGGAGAAACTAATTTGGATTACCAAGTTATAAATAAACCGTCAAAATTTGGCTGGAAAATGACCTCCATGTTAGGTTATTACGGTACATCCAACATTTGCTAGTTATTATACATGCAATTGATATTTATACATTATTTTTCTTTTGAGTGCAGGGTAGCAAGGATCCCTGAACTTTCTTTTATGTTTATTTTTCGTCATTAAGCTCTCATATTAATTTCTCTCGTCCTTCAATTTAACTCTATGTTGCATGAGTGTTCTTTCCATCAACTATGTCTTCTTTTCTATCAAATTTAAGCTTCATAAAAAAATAAAAATAAAACACTTAATTTATTTAAAAAAGAGAAGAGCTTGGCTCCTTAAGGTTAAGGAGGAGTTCCTCCTTAAAATACTTTATGGGGTATTAAAGAGTTCCAATTAAAACTAAGATCATGTAATCATTCATTCAGGAGATCCAATCATAAACACGAAATTTTGTGGATGGTTCATGGTACTTTAACGAAAAGGACTAATAGTGCAACGAATGACATAATTTGAGGAAGGAAACTATTAATAGAGTTCAGAAGCAAAAACGAAACTCGTGTTATAGATCATAAGCATTTGCTACAATTTAGCCTTTTCTTTTTTAACTCTCGCTTCTATTTATTTTTTGACTCTTTGAATGAAAATATTACAATAGAATCAAAAGACAAAAACAAAAAATGATGAAAAAAAAAGAAAAATGTTATGCGGATTCTATTTTTTTAACGGTGGTCTTATAATTCACATACCATTTTTTACCACCTCACACTTCTATTTACTTTTATTTATTAATCTTCTTTAATTTATTCAATCTGATGATTAAAAATTAAAAAAAATATGTAAAAAATAAAAATAAATGTGTGTATAACACCACTATTTTTTTACCATGCACCACAAGTTGCTTACAGCAAGAAACAAATAAATTTAAAAAACTAAAAAATTTGAGAGTTCAGATCTAGATGGATCAACTTAGTGGGGTGTATTATTCTTTCTCTAGCACACTTGCCAAGGGGAATGTTTGTGGGTCCCAACAAAGACCAAAGAAAGTAGGGTTTGTCAGTTCTTGCTGTCAATCTTTCACTGGAGGAAAAAAAAAAAAAAAAAAAAAAGGAAAAGGGGTGTGGAATGGAATGGAAGCAATGATATCATTCCAGGAAATGGGACATAGAGATTAGAGGGGGAGTCTTCAGAACTGTTTAGATATGTAGTCAATAGGTGAGCTTTTGGTTTAAGGAGAAGGTTTAGTGGTTCTAAATTAAAACTTGGAGAGAAGCCAGAAGCTGCTTTTTGAAAAGTTGTTTATTACGAAGTCATGTGGAAGGCATCAGAGTTCTTCTCTGGCTCTTCAGGTAGCAAGCTCTCCCCTCTTGCTCATATGCTTCATGGAGATCTTTGTGTAATGGCTGGATAAATCTCTGTTTCTGAATAAAACCTTAAACTAAAATCCTCCTAAAACAACAATATGTGTGTGTGTGTGTGTGTAAATAGATGCATGGAGATAAACAAGTACATTGCATCCACTTCAGATCCTTACAAACTAAGTTGCAAATTATACATATTATTTATTGTACCAAGCGAACCAATTAGTAGCACATTTCAGTGGACCGCGATGCCCTTTGATTTTCTTGTAGTGATAGAACTAGAAGAAATTACATGAAATATTAAAAAGGGCAGATGATTATACAGTGCATGCCATATGCCTCTTTTCTACTTTTTCTACCCTAAAAAAAATCTGGGCTGGTCTTGATTGATATCATAGATTCCATCCTCCACGACCTTTTTTTTATGAACACTGCTCAGCTCCTTACACGTAAAAAGCCATTTTGAAGCCATATCTAAAATAAGCTTCAAAAACCCACCACCATCTAACTTCAAAAGAGTAAAGGCCATTCCAAGAAGAAAAAAAAAGAGAAGGAGAAATGAAGAATATTAAGAAAACCCATGTATCCTATCTGTTAGTTATGAAGAAATCCAAACATTAAGTCACCCACCCAAAAAGCCAAAGACTAATAAAAAGTTTAAAATCAGAAATAAGAGAGAAAAAACCCAGGATGCAAGTCTCTTCTTGTTACTAATTACCATGATCCTCCTCCTAGCATTCCTGTCCAATACCCAGTTGAATCTCCATGCTGCTTGTTCTGCTCATTAATCCCTCCTCCTGAAGGAGCTTGTTTCAAATCTTCAAATGGAAACAAAAGCCTCCCACTGCTCTGTTGAACATGATGACCTTGAAGACTCCCATATCCACTTCCAAGCCCATCCAGTGAAAAATTAAGAGTTGGCTTGAAATCCTGCATCGGATTAATTAGTCCAGAAGGACTATTATATACAGAGTTGTTGTTGTTCGGGTCTGATAGGACTGGCATAGGCATGAAGGAGTTCAAACCCCTAGAAGTCAATCCAGTGAGAAGCTCTAAGGCAGAAAGGTGGGATGTTGTTGTAGTTGTAGTAGTAGAAGTTGGGGAAGAAGTAGAGATGTGGTTTTGCTGCTTGTTGGTGCTTTGATCATTGATGTTGTTGTTTGGAAGTTGTTGATGATGGTGATTAAGCAAGTGACCAGAGATAATATTCCTGAAATCTTGATTAGTGGATGGGAAAGTGAGGTTCAGATCTTGGGCTTGGTTGATTTTAGGGTTTTGGTGAATCAGATCAGGAAGCCTTTTGGATGCTGAGGAAGAAGAAGAATTGTTAGAAGTTGTTGATGGAGAATTGTTTGAGGATGAAGATCTCTTGTTCTTCCTTGAACCACCTCCAACTGGGATGCTTCTGAGGGACCCACCTTCAGTCCAGTACCTTCTGCAACTCTTGCAGAAGTACCTTGGTTGTGTGAGGCTGTAGTTGTTGTAGTAGCAGAATTTCGTGTTGGTGGAGTTGCACCTTGGACAGTTTAGGGCTTGTTCCTTCTGAGGCCTTGCTTTCCTCTCCAAATTATTAGCTGCTGCAGGCTTAGGGCATGAGTTTGTCACTATCTCCTCTATTGGTTTCACCACAATTCCCTAAAAAAGCCAACAGAAAAAAGAACAAGATAAATTTCAGACCAAACAAAAGAAATAGTATTTGATCAGTAGGAATACTGTGAAATTAGAGAAATGGGAGAAAGACAAGCAAAACAAAACAACTGAAGGAACTGCTTTTCAATTTACACTTTTTTGAAAATTGTATGAGCCAGCAACAAAAGGAGAGGAACAAAAACAACAAAAGATAATTGGGCTCTTTTTTACTTTATCACCTAAACAAAAGG